TCTTAGTGAACAGTAGTTCACAGGTCCCTTTTGTCTAAGGGAGCAAAGTGACAAATTTAAGGTAAGTTGTAAAATGAATATATTTATAAATAGGCTAAGCTTGAGTTAAATAAACAAACTATAAGTTACGTATAGTAAAGCTCGTTGTCATCAGCCAATGGTTGGCATCGGACGGACCCTGGTACCATGTACCAGATACCCCGAAGTGTGACGTGTCACATTTGATGTAACATGGTGTACACTTGGAGTTACGTACCCCGTTACATCCTCCCCCACTTAGGTTCGGTTTACCGACCAATCAGGATGAGGAAGTGTACGTCACAAACTCTCACTCCCAATGTCGAACTACACAGACTTGGCTGCGCGAACGCGGTGGAGGCTCACTTTACAATTGGAGCCTCGAGCAGCTTTTAAGCTCTCTTCTCCTCGGTCTCCGCATCGACCTTTAGCATGCCCCAGGGCACTGCTAAGAGCGGTGCGAAAAATCGCTCCAGGGCTGCTGCCGGAAAGGCGCAAGCCAAGAGCACTAAGCCTCGCGGCAAAGGCTCAGCACTTTAGGAGGCTACTAAGGTGGCCTTGGAGGCGATAGACTTATGTAATAACGAGCCTGCAAGCAAGCGCCGCAGCCCATCACCTTCGAATACTCCAGACAACCGTCCGAACGTGAGTTCATTTCGAACAGTGAGGACGAGGCCGAGTCCGGGAGCACTCACGATGCTCCTGTGGGAGGGCACACTCCAGTTTTCAGCGATCACGACGACGCCAGCGTTCACTCGCTCACTAGTGATCACGGTGATCACAGTCCTAGGACGTCTGTGCGCTCTGAGAGTCCTGCCGTCAAGGCTAAGGGCTTTTTAAAAGCTGGCGGCGACGAGGAGGAGAAACCTATCAAACATCTCTCGCTGGCCGAAGGTTGGCGCGTGCTAAGGCCACCAAAGCCGAAGACGTCAAGCCCTCAAAGAAGCGCGCGGCTTCGAAGTCTCCACTCCCCGAGGAGAAGGAGACTGGGTACCTCTATCGGAACCTTTTCGGCTCCTCGGATGAAGAGGAAGAGGGGGAGGAGGGGGCTATCAATGAGCCCAGGAAGATCACGAGCGACCACGACCAGCAGCAGGAGGACTTCCAAGCTGCCCAGCGCATGCGGGGGGGGGCGGTGGTAGCACCCGTCAGCCAAGGAGCTGCCATCAACTCAAGAGGTTATTGGCCTCCCGAAGAGAGCTCTGGGCTGACCGCATTCTGGAGATCCTCGTCGTTTCTCGTGGGATTTTCGGTGGCCACACTTTTAAGGGTCAGAAAGAGCTGTTGTTCGTCGACAACTTGGAGGCGGCCCGGTGCGTCCGCACCGAATCCCCTTAAAGGTCTCCACGACTTGTCGTAAAAAGCCCGAGAGCTGAGATGGTCTCTTCCCTCTCTGGGGCTACCCCTCGGCTCATCCTGAGCGCTGTCCCAACTGGAACTCGTGTGAGGACATGTTCTGAGCGTGGGGGGAGTCTCTCAAGTACTCACCCTCGGAGTTACGGGAACTCCATGAAGATCAGCTGATGCTGGACCAGCGTGATCTTCGTGTCCGGTTCGCCCACTTGGTCAGCAAGTGCATGCTGCCGAGGGACATTCTGAAGCGCGCAGCTTCTAGCGCTCACGATGAGCGCGGGTACGGAGTGTCGTCAACATCCGTACCCTACTCGGGCATGAAGGCCCGGATTACTTACGAAGCTGCCGCCGCTTCGGCTCCCAGATTGCGACCGCCTTCGGGCGGTCTATCCGGAGCCGTTCAACCGGATCCCAAGCGTTCTCGGAGTGAGCATAACCCCTCTGGGTGGCACTATGTCAATCTTGGAACACATTTGCTGTAAACGTCAGCAACAATGCGAAAGGCTACCGGTAGCATATTGTCGCGGCTCTCCAGCGCTTCAAGACCTTCTCCAAGCGTCATCTCATCGATCACCTTCATAATGACGATATGGAAGTGGGCTTTCCTTATGCAGTTCCACCTGAAGCTGCGTTTACGCACTACCGCTTCGGGGCAGCGCGCCTTTCTGAACTCGATGTTATCGGGTAGACTTCCGTGCGTGTACCCACCCCTCTGCGAGACCTCCGTGCTCACCTTGAGCACCGTGTTGCACCCCGTGCTGGTGACTCTCGCAATGTTATTGCAGACATTATGCCTGCACTCAGTTCTGGGCCTCGTATGCCCTCACCGTCTCCGAAACGTCCTTCATCAGGACGCCCCGTGGGCCCCATGTATCTCGATGGGGAGGGAGCCATCTTTATCGAATACGAAGACGAGCCTGGTCTCGGCTCGTCTTTGAGGCTTCATAGTCCACAACGCGCTTGACAATCCAGCGTGTCGAGCCGTGCGCGTCACGGAGCGGCGGCGGCGGTGGCGTAAGAAAAGCCTTCGTATGGTGAGCCGCAGGTTGACCATAGATCTAGCGCACTGCCCGATCGTGGCGTCGCTCTAAAACAATCCGAGAGCACGGCATTCGTCGCCCTGCAACAGGAGCTGTGCCAATAGAAGGCGCAGGTCGCTGCGGCTCCTCAGACCGCTTCGATTTTCCAAGTCGCACTTGGATCCGAGCTGAGTCGCCTGCGCGATCGCGTCGTTGCGCTCGAAACGCTGGGTCCTGCCGCTTCGCTGTTATCGAGCCATCAAGACTAAATGGCTCGTGTTGCTCGGAAGGCTTCTGCTGCCCGACGTAAAATGTCGGATGGAGTCGCATGCTGGACGGTATGTCATACGTATACGTGTTGCCATGCCGTTCAAGTACTGTGAACGGGCCGATGAAGCGCGGAGCTAGCTTGCTTGCACCGAAATCAGCAACTACATGTCGTGGCAAGTTCTGTGTAGCTAACATAACAAATGAACCCTTTTGGATTTATGTTTGCTTCCTCTGTCTATATTGTCTGCGTTCAGCTTCTGTCTGTCTACAGAAGCTGCAATTGCGTCCTGGACAAACCGTATTACGGCTTGTCGGCGGTGGACAAAGTGCGGTAATTGCGTGCCGAGTGGCTCGTTCAGCACGTCTTCCTTCTCCGCAGCAGACCCAGCCTGCGCGCAGTCTTTGCGCCGCACAGATGTGTTGTACTACGGTCCGCCACAATATCGAGGGGCATTCCATGGTGTCGGAACACCATGTCAACAAACCGTCGTGCAGTCTGCACGGTCGTGACGTCAGCTGGTACTGCTGCAAGATGAACCATCTTGCTGAATCGGTCAACAAAGACCACAACGCCAGGCCTCCGCTTGTTGTCTGGCTAAAGACCGAAAACAAAGTCCATAGAAATGGACTGCCAGCACTCTGATGGTGTCAGTAGTGATTGTAGTGAAGCCTGCGAATACGCAGCAGACTTCACGCGCTTGCACAATTCGCAAGCACGTACATACTTGCGCACCCACTTGAACTGGTGGCCCAAGTATGTATGTCCTCTCACCTGGATGCCCTGCCGTAGGGGCATCGTGATACTTGTACATGATCCGCATACGCAGATCATAATATTCCGGCGCGACGATGCGATCAGCATCGTCGTCCACTGGGCAGTAAAGCAGCCGTCCTTCGTGCACACGATATCGGTGCATGAGCTCGCAGATGTGGCGACAGATTTTGACATGCCGCGTCGGAAGGTGCTAAGATATAGGCTATCAATTATTTTGCGTTGGCGTCAATCGCACACGCGTTCTTCACATCGTCGATCAATGTCGACGACGGAACACTTACGCGTTCGACGCCAATTCGGTTGGCGCTGGCTGTCTTAACATCATAATCAGGTCGACGCGACAATGCGTCGGTCACCGCATTCAACCTTGCAGGTTTGCACTTAACCTAATAGTCGTGCTCCACAAAGAACAATTACCATCTCGCCATTCGTTGCGAGATGGCCGGAGACTTCACTGCCGTTCGCAGTGAAGCGTGGTCGGTGTAGACCGCGAACAGTCTTCTCTCAAGTAAATACACCCCGAACCTCGCGAGTGCATACTTTATGGCAAGGAGCCCCTTGTCATGTACAGGGTAGTTACGCTCAGCTGGCTTCAGCTGACGCGACTGGTAGTAGACACACGATCACGGCTCTCGTCATCGTGTTGCATCATCGCGCATTCGATTGCGAAGTCGGACGCGTCACACACGATGTGAAATGGGCGATTTTGGTCAGTCACTGCGAAGATCGGCGCCTCAGTCAAGTCCTGCTTGACTGTATCGAAGGACTGCTGATACTCAGCAGTCCAAATCCGCTCAGCTTCCTTTTACAGAAGCTGTGACAGCGGGCGAATCTTGCCCGCGTATTTTTCAACATACTTGCACCAGTACGTTTCAACTCTACGGATCTGTCTTAGTTTCTTCACGTTGGATGTAGATGGTGCGCTTGGCCATTGAATCGATGATAACATATTCTCGTGGTATCGGCGTCTGTGCCGGTATCGTCGCATCGAATTTGTCTTTGCTGTCTTGCAAAAAACTCAATACCAATATGAATTTTGTCTTTGCTGTCTTGCAAAAAAACTCAATACCAATATCTATATTGGTATTGAGTTTTTTGCAATACAGCAAAGACAAGACAAAATTCATCGTATGTGAAAATCTCTTAATAGAAATCTCTTAATAGTGACAGCCCTTATTTTAAGACAAATACGACATTTTTGGAACGCACCAGTATGAAAAATTTTGGTGAGCAAAACCTGATGCATTTCTTTACTCAGCAAGTATTACTATAAGTAGTAGTACAAGAAGAGATACTACTACTACAGGCCGTATTATTGAACGGCCACTGAATGGTTTTTTTGTCTTGCGGTTTTACTACTAATGATGAGGCAAGCCCATGTATTTTACATGAACCCGTGACTGTTTAAACCCGACCACGTTTTCGCTGGTCACTGGGAATTGTACGCGATTCTAAACATTGATAAACACACCCCGTTCGAACAGTAAACAGGAGTCTAAAGTCACCTTACTACACCCAAACGCATTTACAAGCACTAATCTCCACCATACTCTACCAACTGGCACTTAGTGGCGACGGCGGGAGCACTTTGCGCCAGTTGCACCCTCATCTGTCTGTGCAGTCGGCTGGGTTGCCGTTGGGGTGGCCGTGGTCACAGTTGGGGTAGCAGGTGTCTCCTCGGGTGTAGCAGCTTCGGAGGCGTCGGTGTCTGTAGTCTCTGGCGTATCCGCGGCACTTGTAGTCGAGCTGTCAGCTGAAGCGCTGGCGGACTCTGTTGTGGCCTCTGGGGCATCGGTCGCGACAGTCGAGGGGGCAGTCGTTGTAGTCTGCGTCTGCATTGAGTCACTCTCACCGGCGACAGCTTCGGAAGTACTGTTCGTCTTGCCCGTGAGAGGCGCGCAGTTCAGGTAGAGCTGCCATGGGAGCCCGTGCAGTGCGATCCAGTACGACTGGATCATCTTGGCGCCCACACAGACATCAATGTCGTAGGGCAGATACGCAGGCACCTCCGGGTAATGCAGCGCGCAGTTGGTGTCCATGAAGGCCAGTTTGTCGTCGCACCAGACCTCGCACGGTCCCTGGTGGGAGTAGCCGAAGTCTTTCCATTGCACTTTGGCGGGTAGGTTGCGCTTTGTTCCTTTGGGGGTGGAGAAGCCGCACTCTTTGGTAGCCTTTCCGAAAGGACTCAGCGACTGTAGCACCATCGTCTTGTCCGCTAGGTCCTTCAGCGAGGTGTACTTGCTGGCGTTGAAGGCTGTCCAGTAGGCTTCCGTATTACTTTCAGGGGTCCCACCGTAGGACATACCCTTGGGTACAGGGAGGTAGTCCTGGCCATCGATCAGTCCGGCGTAGTTGGTACTCGGGAATCCGACAGACCACGTCGGCATTGGATCGGACATGTAGCTGTGGGCTTCGGTGGAGGCGACCAACGTGGACGCAGCCGCTGCAAGGGCAGCGAAAGAAAACGAGAACATTGTATGGATAAAGGTGACGCTGACACTCTAATGAGAGAAATCCGAAATGAGCAGCGGTCAAACGCGCCTCGAGTGCCAAGGACCACAGAGACCAGCACTACCGTAATACGTGCTCTATAATAAGCCCGTCATACAGTACGTATTTTAACACGTGCTCATTTACTTCTGTACCTGTAGTGACACTGCAGGTGTATCATAGTAGTCGCGATGGGTAAGGGGAATAGTGATTGGCTTTGCTGCGGGAAGTGTTCAATGTAAGCGTGGCACACACGCTGCGTTTATACTTTCCATTAAATCAGTAGCGAATACTGAGATTTTAAAAATAATTGTAACATTGACGCAGAAATTCAGTAGTTTTAAGTCATGGTTGCAAAAAAAAATAGTACTGAAAGTGCTTCGAAAAAACATCGTTCAAGCACTGTATCAAGCAGACCGTTTTTATTATTAGGATTGCGCCCACCTCTTGAACAAATTGTCCAAAGGCTCAAGCTTCTAATCTAGACGAGGCTTTGGGCGGATCATTGTGCAGCTGATGCTGCGTTCACCCGAAGACAACGCTTATCCCGATTAATTTCGCACTTAAAGCTCCACGGTACCCAGCAGTAGAAGTGTTGGCTTCGAGTCGAGCTCTTCCGTTTTCAGCCGCTGTCAATATTCAGTAAGAAATTCAGTTATATTTAAAAGCAACGAAGTTTTTCACTGCCATATCTTTAAGTCTTTTTGGGCCGAAATCGTTGTCCAATCAATCCACAGTCAATGTAGGATGAGTATTAGCACTGTTGCTGTGCGAGAGTGAAAATCTGAACATGTTAGATAAGTATTCTGCGCTGTAGTAGTATTGGTAGTTATGACTGTAGTACTTTAACGCACAGACAAATAGTACTTTACAGCTTTCTAATTAATTTTCTACTTGTTACCACTGTAGTTAGGGTACTGATTTATAGAAATTAACCCCGCAGCGTCAGGCAAACTGATCATGCAAATCAAAGAAGGTATCGGTCGGCCACACAAGTCTCTTGTCAGGAAACAAAACGGGGTTGAGTCAATTTGAATCAGCTGGAAGCGCCGACGGCTACATTGATCTGGTCTGCTGCCGGATCGGCATGCATTATCACCGTCGAAACTCCAAAGCGACCATGGCTGCTCACTTGGTACTGATCGGCGATAGCTTGTCACGATGCATGTAGCAGTACGCGTCAGAACCTTCCCGTAGACCGACTATCCAACCCAACGATCAGCTTGGTCAGCTGTTCGCGGAAGTCCAACGATGCGCTGTTTTTGTCGGGTACTGTAGCTTGTCCTCTCTCTATGCATATACTCAGTATAATACTGAACCGGTACTTTTAAATGTAAAGGTGAGTCCGGATGTGGCCCTCAAGCTGGAATTCGGGAATGAAGCCCATCAACATCGCAGTTTTTACATACGCTTCAAACTCGTTAGGTGATCGTGCAGTGAAATGGAGTGTGTCGTGTTGCGCTTCAATTTGTAAATGTCGGCGTCGTAGGGAGCCATTAACTGGCTTATGTCTGCGGCTGCTAACCTAAAAAAAACAATCACGGGGCGGGCCAGGACAAACAAGCAGAGCTGCTTTCACCGGAAGCGCGACGTTCCAAACGATAATGACGGTTCCACCCAAGCGACGCTTGGTGTTTAAGTCTTAAACTTTAAGACGACACAATGCACTGCTGACAAGTCCGTGTTCGCGCAAGTGTACTCCTTTTCCATTAGTATATGGAATAACAGTTATAGCTAATAGTGCCTTGTTGAGTACCACGCTAACATGTAAGTATGCAAATTTCGCGCTAAACCTGGAGCACTAAACAATTTTTTTTTTAATTATTCGTTTCAATAAATTGGCGCGACCACCAATGCCTTGTCCACAGCGGCAACGGTTGCTTGGATTGATTCAGTCCACCACTACTTCAGTATATCCAGCTAACAGGTAAACGCCCCATACTAGTTGGCGCATTGAATCCAAGAAACAGCTAAACGATATGTTGTACGCCTCCACGGCGGTCGTTTGTAACGGGCGAGGGTGATACTAAGTAAACTAGCTTCGCTATTAGGTCTAACAAATAACACAGCTCTCGTTCGACACACGTTTTAATAGAATTAAATTCGGCATGATCTGTCGTGGCCAATGGCATCTACTTTGCGCTGGACTCGCCATTTCGTTCTACACCTGTGTCGAGTTTTGGCCCGGCCAAAACCGTCTCCTGAAGCGTGTCCAATCAAACGTTCCACGTTCTCACACTTACGCCCATATGAACTATCACGTAGACGGAGCGGAATACAATTGGCAGAAATTGACAAACAGTCGTCTTCGACGTAATAAAGAGAGCGCAATTACCGGCTTATAGATTAAAAAAAGGCGACAAATTTTGTCGCCTTCTACGTGTTATACGTTGTGCCTTGAGCTGAAAAAACTAATGAGGTGAAGTGTAATTTCAGTACATGAAGTGTATGAAGCTTTAATAGATCATTGCTGCAACACTACAATACTTCATCTGCCGATTAATGATTTCTGATCACGATGAGAGCATTTTGCTAGTCGAGTCTGCCCATCCCAAAATCAGAATTTACCAAGTATTATAATCGACGTTCACTTTACCATATTTCGTCGCACACATATTAATACTACAGTAATATTGGTACACTATTTATCTATTAAATTCCAGAACTGGACCTATGGTTGTTTAAAGTGCCGGCAAATACAGAGGTGTCTTCAGACGTGAAGTCCTCATTGATAAAGTAGCATTGAAAGCTGCCCAGTAGGTGTCAGTGTTATCGTACGGATCCGATGGAGATGACATGTCTTTAGAGACGGGAAAATAGCTGTCGCGCTGGACGGGAACCAATCTACCAGTCATGTTGACATCTGTGTGCGCAGCCGCAGGTCTTTGGACATCCTTTTGTCGCGAGCCGTCCTTGGATGGGACGGTCGACGCTGTATAGAAGTAGAACAGTACGGAGATATAAACAGAAGCAACAAGCTAAAGACAAATGTCAACACAAATTCTTTTCTGCTTGTTGTCTCCAAGGAAAATTCACGACTGACCTCTTACCTTCTTCCTTGCGACCCGCACTTCGTCCTCCATGGTCCTCGTTTCCGCCGTCAGGCACCGTTTCGCAATCATCGCCCACGATTTTGTACACCACGACAGCGAGGCGGTACCGCTCACCCCACCGCCTCACCGCGAAGATACACTGTCCTTCAGTAGCTCCGGTCCCCCATGACTTCCGTCCTCGTCATCCACGGGGACCGTACGCTCTAGCCGCGCTTGTCCCACGGAGACCGAGGCCGGCCCACAGCTTCTCAGCGACTCCGTCGTGGCCCTGCATGGCTTCATCGAACGCGTGGCCCACACGAATCTGGTCGGCCGTCGAAAAGAGCGGAGGAGGGTAACGGAGCTCACCGTGCCCAAGACGGTGGCCGCCAGAACCACTCGTGACACCCTCTCCGACTGAAGCTTGACGCCCTCGTCGAGCACCCGTCGGGCCTTGATCAGCTTTCCGGGCATGGTGAGCATCTCGGCGCGCCCGCACTTCGCTCAGCCGCCGCACCTTTGGCTTGGGACCCACACAGCCGTCGGCCTTCCAGAACGCTTCGCTGAGGCGCTCGGCCTGCTCCTGCTCCTCAAGGTCCTTCGTCCACCGGGCGTATCTGTCCTCAGCGACTTGCTTAGGCGTGCGTCGGCCCTTGGAGGCCTCGTTCCATCGCAGTAGGCGGCTAGTAACGGCTAGCAAAACGGTCAAACCACTGGCAAGCACCATATCGTCGTTCCAGGCGAATCCGCCGTCGACACCAAAATGCCTCTCCGCCAGTACGTAGTATCCCAGCAGTAGTAGCGCCCCGACGCCGCAGCTTCCATAGAGAATCCATTTCACAAACTCGTACACGTAGACGGCCGTGTACAGGCCGGCGTAGGCAAACAATCCCATGAGTGACGCGAAAGCGCGGAAAACACAGCGCGCACGGTCCATTGCTCGGTGACACTCCGCGCTGGAGCCAATCCAATACTTCACTGTAGACTTGCAGCTCAACTCGAGCACGTCGGGTAGGAACACGCACCACAAGGCGTGATAGGCCTCCAGCCAGCGGTGGGCAAGACGTCCCAACCCGCCCTCGCTTTCCGCCTCGTCCTCTAACACCACCATCGGCGTCTGGAATAACGCCTCGTACAGCTTCCAGCGACGCACTGCCGGAGTCCTTTCCGCAATCCTCACGTAGTCGGCGAAGATCCGGTAGCGCCGGATGCAAGTCTTACACAGCCCGGTCCACTTGATCACAAATTCCAATACAGCGCCGACGATCCGCCCCACCACACACCACAACGGCTTGGTGATCATCCAGCCGACGGCGCCGCTCAGGGCCCAGAGCAATCCAGACCAGTGGCGGACGGCTGCCGCCCACGCCATCTCTGTCCACGGATGACGCACGACGCTCCACCCAAACGCCCAGCAGATCCCGGCAAGCCAGACGCACCACTCCGTAGCCTCAGTGAGCAACTCAATCATCGTAGCGCAGCCCCGAACGCAGGGAGTCCGATCTTTGAGTAGTCGTGCGTACCAGCGCTAGGCCGGTCCAGATAGGCAGGAGCCATCAATCATCGTTAAAAGAACTCCATCACCGTCACTTCTCGGCGCTGGGGCGAGTCCACGCCGTAACCCACAATCCCTCGTAATCGGATCTGGGACCGTGCCGGGCCCTCGTCACAAACCGTCGATCACGGGGGACAAACCGTCTCCCCCACCAGCGCATCTGGCGTATCACTGAACCATTGACGGTCCCTGACTAGGTCAAGAACCATCAGCCTAGCGGTAAGATCCAGTCTTTCTCGCATTTCCGCATTCGTTTCCTTCTCCTCACGCCGCCGCAGCTCTTCCCGCCTTCAACCATGGCCAAGACCAAGGAATCCAGCAAGGATGTCGTCGTCCGCTGTCTCCGCGCCCGCCTCGACAGCAAGGGCAGGCCGTCGGAGGAGGACAATGTCCTGCGCGCCCAAGTGGACTTCTACGCCGAGCTCCGAGATCACCTGGCCGTCAACGAGGCCTCCTCGGGGCTGCAGGCAGTCGACGCCCTCGCCCTCGCCCTTATCGCGGATGACGACTCCCTACCGGCCACGCTGACGGAGGTCGTGACGCTGTTGCCGCCGCCCGGCTCCTTCGAAGACGGACAGCCCCCGACTCATGCTCTCTTTGCGCCGGAGCCCGACACGACCATCAAGCGCCCAGCCCCGCGCAACAAGGCCCAGTCGAAGCGTCCGGCCAAGAAGCGACGCACCACCGCGAACTCCCTGAAGTATTCCCTCGAG